CCGCCGGTGCCGCCGGTGCCGTCGGTGCCCGTCCTGTCGGCGGAGGAGCTTCTGGGCGGCGATTCCTGCGAGAAGCCGAGCCCGAGCAGTAACGTCGTCGTGGGAGAGCCGCCCGCCCATGCTGGTGCACTGCAGGTGTGTAAAGCGTCAGCTCCTTCTGCTTTTAAAAGCTTCGGAAACATCGTTCATGTTTTCCGGGTATTCTCTGCGTGGTGTCAGAGGGGACTCGTCATTTGTGTTTCTACGTAGTGGCAGAAGTTTTGCATTTTATTCTCGCTAACAGATTCAGCTTAATGGCTTTGTTTTGGCTCTCCTTTCGGCTGGTGACAGCGTTTCTCAGTGTTTGTCTGTGTTTCCCGGAGTCGAGCTTTTGTGAGTTGCACAGTTCTGTCTCTGTGATGGAGTGAATTAAGGAACGGGTAATGCCCCGTTCATGGAGATCAGGAAGCACTTGGTTCTTCCTTGGTCACATGTTCGGCTTCAGCCGCGAGGATTTGTCGTTAACCTTTGAGCTCTCTCAATGAGAATGTGTTCGTAATGTTGAAAGCAGACTGGTGTTCTGTGGAAGGAGAACGGCTGATTTGTCATGACGCATTCGTGGAAAAAGGAGAAAGGCACACCTAGTGTTGGAGGTTTTGTCTTTCCTGACTGCTTTGTTCAGAAAGGGACTTGGAACTCGTGTATAGATTTAAATAGACCCGTTCGTTAAACTTTGTTAAGTCTCCGGTCTATTTAGAAAAGAAACGAATGTGGGAAGTTCCGTGCTCCATGTTGAATGAAAGATGTTATTGCCCGTATCTGGGGGGGTTGCAGTGGTGGGACTAGATGGCTTCTTTTTATGCGTTTTGGTACCTAATTCACTCTCTTCTGATCTTCATGATCTTTATTTCATACGCCTGTAAGAGGGTTGAATGATTTCTGTTTCAGAGATTCGGACTTTTCTATCCTTTTCTCACAAAGATGTTTGCGGTTGCATGAATACTCGGGTATATCGAGAGCAGCAAGTTTCTGCAAGTCTGTCTCCTAGGATGGACATGTGAGATAGGGAGAAATCACATTTGAGGGAGATTGACAAGACGATGGTTTAGGCACTAGAATCATTCCCACTTGCGTATTAATTAGTGGTCAGCACAGTTTCAAGGTCGCAATTGTAATTTTTTTGCTATGGTTCTATAATTCCTTTCTTGGAAACACATCGTATCAGCGTCGTTAAGAAATGCATAAATTAATTGTTCACTAACTAGCTTGAATGCTTTACACATTGATTTCAGAATAAAAGAAACCTAGAATTACTTGATTAAATGTTAGCCTGTATAAACCAAGGAAACACTATGTTTATCTTAAGAAGAGATATCAAGGTTTTGAAGTCCTGAAAGTTTCCTTTGAGTGTTTTAGCTGCATCTGTATTTGCCCGTGTTATTCAATTAGCTGTAACAATTAGCTCCTTATCTTGAAGAAGCATACAATTGCTCTCGTCCCGCTTGTGTTAATGAACCTGATAGCTGTTTTAATTTGGGATATGGAATCCTCCCATTTTGTCTCTGAGAGCCTGTTGTTGAAGATGCTCTTGAACAAAAAGGATAAGACTAACAGTAAGGTACAGGGTAAAATACGGAAAATGTGTTTGAATTTACATTTAATGACATTAGTAAGTGCTTCCCGTGCGGTTCAAGAACCGCGCTCACGGAATATCTCTGCCTTCCTCACGATCGTGATGCCCTGGAGGATCAAAGGCGAGATGGGCTGGAGAAAAGCGGAGGCAGGAGATGGGCGCGGGACGGAAAGCGGCGTGTGGGTGGCGTGTGGTCCCTGTTTGTAGGCAGGCAGGGCGGGCAGCGCTCGGTGGCTGCAGTGCCGGGAGGAGGCTGCGGGCGCCGCTGTTGACCGAGAGGAGCGAGAGGAGGATCGGAGCGCTGCCGGCAGCCCCGCCCGCTGCGGCCAGGCTGGATCGCAGCTCGATCGCTGGATTGGTGGGTGGGCAGCCCGGGCGGCGGTGTGCGATCGTCCTGCCGGTGCGGATCCGTGCGGCGGAGAGGCGGCGGAGGCTGGGGCAGGGCCCGGGAGCGGAGAGGCCGGTGGGAAAGGTCAGCAAGCGCTGGGAGCTGAGCAGCAGCGGCAGCGGGGAGCTAAGTTGGCGGAGATGAGCTGGGCGGGGAGGCGCTGGGGCCGGCGGCAGCGAGCTGTGCTCTGGGCCGTCCTGCTGGCGGCGTGGGAGGCGGCGTGGGGGCAGCTGCGCTACTCGGTGCCCGAGGAGCTGCCCAAGGGCTCGTTCGTGGGCGACGTGGCCAAGGACCTGGGGCTGCAGCTGCCGGAGCTAAGCGGTCGGGGTGTCCGCGTTGTCTCGGAAGGTCGGACGCAGTATTTCGTTCTGCACGGGAAGACGGGACATTTAGTGACGGCGGAGAGGATCGACAGAGAGCAGCTGTGCCGGTTGGTGGAGAAATGTGTGCTGCGCTGTGAGCTGATCGTGGAGGGACAGATGCAGGTCTACGGAATCGAAGTTGAAATCACGGATATTAACGACAACCCGCCGAGCTTTAAAGAAAATGAGTATGGAGAGAAGATTAGTGAGATGACAGCCCCGGGTTCGCGGTTTCCTCTGGCCAGGGCTCACGACGCGGACTGGGGCCTGAATTCCCTGCAGAGCTACGAGCTGAGCGGTGACGAGCACTTCTCGCTGGCCGTGCAGGCGGGCCCCGGCGGCGATCAGCGTCCCGAGCTGGTGCTGGCCAAGGCGCTGGACCGGGAGGAGGCGGCGTTTCACGAGCTGGTGCTGAGGGCGATGGACGGCGGCGATCCGGCACGGACGGGCACGGCTCGGATCCGTGTGACCGTGCTGGACGCGAACGACAACGCGCCCGTGTTCAGCCAGGCGGAGTACACGGTGCGTGTGCCCGAGGACGTGCCCGTGGGCTCTGTCCTCGTCACCGTCGCGGCCACGGACGCCGACGAGGGGCTAAACGGCGTTATTATATACTCGTATAAGAAAGAGACAGACAGGGCTATTTTCCAGCTGGACTCTGAGAGTGGAGCGATCACTCTGTTACAGAGCCTGGACTATGAGGAAGGCGAATCTTACGAACTGGAGGTGCAGGCACGGGATGGCGGAGGCCTTTTCGACACTGCCAAAATCGCGATCACTGTCACAGACATAAATGATAACGCACCTGTGATTTCTGTGCGGTCTGCTCTGAGAGAGATTTCTGAGGACGAGCCATCGGGGACTGTGGTTGCACTGCTCCATGTGTATGATCAAGACTCGGGACCGAATGGTGAAGTGCGCTGCTCCCTCGATGGGGACGTCCCATTCCGGATAGAGAAATCCCGTAAAGATTACTACCGTGTGGTGACAGCGAGAGAGCTGGACCGAGAGCAGGTGTCGGAGTACAACGTGACGGTGCGGGCGGCCGACGGCGGGTCGCCGGCGCTGCAGAGCAGCGCGGTGCTGGCGCTGCGGGTGCTGGACGTGAACGACAACGCGCCGGTGTTCGCGGAGGAGCGCTACAGCGCGCGCGTGTGGGAGAACAACGCGGCGGGCGCGCTGGTGCTGACGGTGCGCGCCACGGACGCGGACTGGGGGCAGAACGCGCGCGTGCGGTACCGGCTGGCGGAGGGGCGGGTGCGGGGCGCGGCGCTGTCGTCGTACGTGTCGGTGCAGGCGGAGACGGGCGCGCTGTACGCGCTGCGCTCCTTGGACTACGAGGAGGTGCGCGAGCTGCGGCTGTGGGTGCGTGCGGAGGACGGCGGCGCGCCGGCGCTGAGCAGCAACGTGTCGGTGGTGCTGGTGATCGTGGACGAGAACGACAACGCGCCGCAGGTGCTGTACCCGCCGCCGCTGTCTCGGGCGGCGGGCTCGGGCGGCGCGTGGTCGGGCGTGGAGCTGGCGCCGCGCTGGTCGGAGCCCGGCGCGCTGGTGGCCAAGGTGGTGGCGGTGGACGCGGACGCGGGGCAGAACGCGTGGCTGTCGTACGAGCTGGCCAAGGCGACGGAGCCGGGGCTGTTCCGCGTGGGGCTGCACAGCGGCGAGGTGCGCACGGCGCGCTCGCCGCTGGCCCGCGACGCGGCGCGCCAGAGCCTGGTGGTGCTGGTGAAGGACCACGGGCGGCCGGCGCTGTCGGCCACGGCCACGCTGAGCGTGCTGCTGGCCGAGAGCGTGGCCGAGCTGCTGGCCGAGCTGGGCAGCGCGGCCGAGGCGGCGGCGCCGGGCGAGCCGGCCGGCAGCCTGACGCGCTGGCTCGTGCTGGCCGTGGCCGCCGTGTCGTGCCTCTTCCTCGCCTTCCTGCTGCTGCTGCTGGCGCTGCGCCTGCGCCGCTGGCGCCGCCAGCACCTGCTGCCGGCCCAGAGCGGCGCCTTGCGCGGCGTGCCCGTGTCGCACTTCGTGGGCATCGACGGCGTGCGCGCCTTCCTGCAGTCCTACTCGCACGACGTGTCGCTCACGGCCGACTCGCGCAAGAGCCAGCTGCGCTTCTCGGCCGCCAGCTGCTGCGACACCCTCCCGGCGCGGCCTCTGCCCGACGAGCCCGCGCCGCTGCTCGGGGACGAGGACCCTGCCACCGCCCTGCCCGCGGATCCCGCTGCTCCCTCGGTGAGTTGCTCTGGGCACGTTTACTCCGACAGTCGTGCTTCCTCCTGATGCTCCCGTGTCCTTTTCCCCGCCCTCTTCTCTGCCTTGCCTTGGAGATTTTGCCTTCAAAGCGAGGTCGAGTTTCCCTCGGTGACGTTCTTATGGCTGGTGCCCGTTGGTGTCGTTCTTTGGACATGGGCTCTGTCATCAGCTTTGCAGTTAGTGGAGAAGGAAGGAGGGAGAAGGCTGCTGCTGGCAGGCTGTTCGTTAGATCGTGATTTTGGTTATTTCTCAGGTTGGAGGTGTTTTCCCCCCATGTCTCCTGTGCTGTGTAGAATGAGTGTTGCTGTTAGTGTTGGATGTTCTGAAGTGATGTATGGCGTTATGAGGAAATACAACTTTTTATGAGGCTCACGTGTCTTCCCAAGAGCACCTGTGCTTGAATAGGTTGAATGAATCGTGATCAACATGCTGATGGCTTTGTGTGGAACTTCTCTGCACTTTGTTCTCAGCCTTTTTCTTTTTCCTTTATACATTCTGGAAGTCAGCAGGAACACTCTTTGTGTTATCCATGTTTTGATCTTTGTGCACAGCAGAGAGCTGGGCCAGGCAAGAAGTGTTGCTTGGTGATGTCTGTGTGCCTGTTATGAAGATGAAGGACCCTCTTAGAAATTGTGGCTCTTTGAAAAGTCTGTAAGTGTATGTATGTGGAGGAGGAAATGCAGGAGAAAATGGCAGAACTGCTTTGTTTCTTGTTTGATTTTGAAGGTCGAGCTCTGTCAAATGGAGCTGGATGAGCCCTGGCTATAAAATATTTGTCATGGCGGTAGACTAGGCTGGATGGGAAGGGAGAGATTTAATTTGCAGCAGGAGATAGAAGGTGGGCATAACTCCCCCTGTGCAGATATTCACTGACTCTGTCTCTCTTGGAAGACTGCTCGGCTTTTCCTGTTAGAGCTATGAAGTCTCTTCCCAGAACTTGAGTGAGCAGGCAAATGTCACTTCCATAGTGCAGAGGTGGAAAGATGGCTGTGTGAAATTGGTGGTGTGAAGAGAAATGGTGTGGGGAACTGGGCCTCCAGTGTCACGTGTTTTGAAGATGTGTGGGTGAAAGAAGCCCATGGATGATGGGAAGGGTTGGGAATTGGAGTTGTGTGAGGTGTGCATGAATGTCTGCTGCAAGCCTGAAGGGAATGTTTTCCTCCATTCCCTGTCCAGTTCCTGTCTCCAGCATGAACCAAGATGGGGTTTTTCCCTGTGAATGTCATTGTCCAGAAGATCTGTGTAGCAGGTGGCTGGAGAACCCTGGGAGGTTCTTCCAAAGTATTTGCATCCCATCATAAATGTGTCACTGAAAAGAATCACTTTGTGCTTATGGAAGATGCCGTATGGGAAGAGCAAGCAATGTCTTCAGTGCCTGTAAACAACGTTATTGATCATCTCCTGTGAGTTACAAAACCCAAAAGAATGTTGTGAGCTCTTCAGTCCTGCAGGTGTTAACTTTCTATCTCACTCTTCTGATGATCTGAAGCTGGATCTTTCATGTTTAGGGGTGAAAAGAGAAAGACTTTCAAAGGCAGGTTTCTGGAAAATATCTCTGTAAGAAATGCTTTTTCTTGTCCCATGGCTTGTGTGAGAAGTGAAATATTATCCATGGTCTGAGGATTCTGTCTTCACAACTTTCCTTTTGTTGGAATCTGTGTAAATTCTGAAGATCTGTGATAAGCATGTGAGCTGTGAAGGGTTATTGGGGAGTGTTGGGGATGTGGTGCGTGAGGAGGTAGTGGAGGAGACATGGATGTGTTGTGTTGATGCCCAGGACTATTGCTGGCCTGATGAAAATGAGTCAGGAGGAGTCTCCTGATTTTATCTTTTGTGGTTTTGGAGTCAAATGGCGCAGTTTGTGTTCCATATTCTGTTGCATCAAGAGTGGTGGTCACGCATCTTGTGAGGAGTGCATGTGCTGCAGAATGGTGATGTTGGCTTTGAGGTGATCCTTGGATGGCTGGGTCTTTGCCAGAGCTGCTGAAAATTGATGGCCTATGTAACATTTTACACTTGTTCCAATAATTGGGAGGATCAGAATGATCTCTTTTGTGATGCTTGGGATTTGAGAAGCTGTGCACAGAAATTTTCTTTGAATGATGTCTGTATTCAATCTTTGCTTTCATGTTCTGTTTGGGCAGAGAGAAGAAGTCTGTCTGCACAGAGACAGGGCCGGTGCTGGAGTTCAGTGTGATATAGTTCCACATGAATGAATGAATGGTGTCAAGGTCTGTTTGTCCTAGTAGTTAGATGAGGCTGAGAGCTGTGGTTCCAAGGTTTTTCTTTGTCTTCCTATGCAAGGAAATGAGTGTCTGGTGTCTGTGTAGTGATCTCCTGTGTGAGGCCTCGTGTGCATTAGTTACAATTGAGCTTCCTCTGTTGTGTATGTGGTATAGTTGAGACAATCTGAAATGTGAGGCCATGATTGATCCTCATCTGGTCTTTTCCCATTCTTGGCTTGGTTGATCCAGTTTTTTGGAATGATTTGTCTGGGTTGATTTGGGTTGCTTCATTTGACTGGTTGTATTTTTTTGTCAAGGAGTGACATTGATCCTCAACAAGAACTTATTGTCTTCAAATGATTCCTTGCCTTCATTCATGGTTTGGGTTCTTCTATGAGGTTGTTTTTTCTCATTTTGTTCTTTCTAGATTGTCTCTGCATATTAGTGTACTTACTATTATCAACAACCTATCCGTTTTATCAGTCTGTTGTGTGTTAATATCTCTTGCTCTTGCTCTTGCGTGGCGGAGAAGCAAAAGAAGAGAGGGGAGCTGTGAGTGTGAGGCCAGAGAAGAAGTGGGTCATTGCCTTGCTTGTCCCTTGTCATAGATACCCCAAGGCTGTGCCTGATGGAGTAGGGTGTGCTTTGAGTTGTTTGTGTAGAGCAAGGGAGGCCTACAAAGTGTTCTTGCCTCTGTTAATTTCTATGTGTTTGTAACTCTTGCATTGCTTGTTGTCATGAGCTGAAGCTCAGCGTGTCTGATCTGTGGAAGGTCTCCTGTGTCCCAATTGTCCGAGTGCAGGGGCAGTTCCCTCACACACCTGAGATGTCTAGAGATGTAAAGAGGAAGGGTTTCCTAAGCACTCTTTTTACCTTGTCAAGTGGTTTTGCCTGAGAGAAGGGAAGGTTTCATTAATTGAAATCTTCACATTCTGTGTTGAGAGAAAATGGAACATATTGGTCAGAAAAGTTTTGGATATGCCTCCAATGTTCATGTGTAGCAGAAAATATTCCTGCTCATGGCAGAGGTGTGCATTAAATGACCTTGAAAGTAAGTTTAAGTTGGAAACTGCAAACATATTTGGAATCTATGACGGACTCAGTCTTGCTTTGCACTTTCCAATGTCAAGTGCAGGGATATGGAGATGTTGATGAAACAACTTGAATGAGCCAGAAATAAATTACTGTTATTTTATTATCTTGGCATTGGTGTACACTTACATTACTTTAGGTTATCTATACCTCAGATTAATTGATCCCAGGTCATGAAGGGACAATTCAAGATATGGGACAACAGAGCAGAAAAACTCTTCAAGTATTCCCTGTATTATAATTTACTGCTGTTATAAGTGCGCTACGATTTTATTGAGAGCAGCTGAATGCGATTCTTTACTGCTGAGCCATGAATATTTGCTTCTGAGTGTTCAATAAAAACAATTGTTTTGCGACGCAAAAGAATGCCGTAAAAGCAGCAGGCAGCACATCGTGGATAGAATGGGGTTGTAGTGGAATGGAGCAGGAGCTTGTGTGCTCGGTGTTTGCAGCGGAGGAGCGAGGCCGGAGGCGGTGCAGCCGCTGAGGCCCGGCCCAAGGCGGGCCCCGTTGAGCGCGGCCATCGGGCGGCTGCAGTGGCGTGGCGGCGCCTCCGGGTGCCGCTGTTGGCCGCCGCCTCCCGACGCTGGAGCCGCCGCCGCCGCCGCCGCAGCGTCCTGCCCCCGC